ACCAAATCCCAATCCTGAGCACATGATTCCACCTGGTGATGGGAGAAGCATGAGTCTACCTGGTGATGGGAGACTGCCATGAGTCGAGGTTTCTCGCCCCATCACCCACCACCAGCCGTGCCTAGAATTCCAAGTTGCAGAGGACGTGAGGAATCACACCGTCATGGAACAGCATCAAGTATGGAATCAGCCCTCACAGCGAGAAACCCACACCCAGAATTGAAGAGATGGTCAGTGCAACCCTCTTGAGGGCCACCAGAGGAGAGAGAGATGGAGGGGCCAGTACCTTCAACTGCTCACCCCCGACTTCCTGCAGCCACTCCCCTCATCCCCTACCCAGGCCAGACTGGTTGAGGTTCTTGGATCTCTTGCTGGCCCTAAGCTAATTCAGATCCCGACTCAGGGCTACACAAGAGGCTGATTTCTGACGAGACTTGCCTCGCCCATCAGTCTTGGGTGCCCCTGCTCTGTGCTCCCAGAGTAACCCAGGCCAGCCCGGATGCTGCTGTGTACATTCAGGGAAGGCTACTAAGTGCCTGTCTAGTCTAAAGGCCCTCACAAGCTGTCACTAGGTCGTTCATTCATACCCATAGAAACTAAGGCACAACTGAGACCCTGGGAAAATTCTCAACTGGCCATGTAGTTGATACAGGACCAAAAATGGGTACTTGGTGTGAGATTACAATCTAGAGAGAAGGATCATTCACTACTGCTTGACTCTGTTGTGTGCATTTAATAACAATAAGTGAAGACCAGGCAAACTATCTTCCCGGCAATGCATTTCTTGCTCAACTTCCCCCTTGAAATTCTTTACAAGCCTGTACATGGTTCCAGTACAGCCACACAAAGTTCCCAGGCAGACCTGCCTCCTCTTCCTCTTCAAGTTCTTATGATTCAATAACCCAGAGACACGTGAGGGGCTCATGGCTCACGGGGTAGCGCATAAGTCTCGAAGGGGCGGGACCCTGGGTTCCATCCTTGAGCTCACATGGCCCCCAAGCAATGACCAGTGTGCACCCATCTCCCCCTGAATATCCAGACATAGCTTCCCCAGAGGACGGACACAGCACACTCTGTTATTCTGCCTCTCTCCCTAGATGGCTTCTGAAATTCTGTTAGGCAGCTGCCCTTCAAGAAGACATCAAAAATTAACTGTTGCCAGTTCCAGATGTCTACACTCCTAAAATTTTAAACTGTTCTTCTAAACTGCTCCTAGGAAATAATGTCTGCTAGTATAAGTTTCCTTAAAACCTTTTCTAATCAGATCATTTTATTTACTGGGGTGGGGGGGGGGCGGGAGGTACAACCTGGCAACACTTAGGGCTTACTCCTGGCTCTGTGCTCAGGGATGACTCCTGGTGGGGCTTGGCAGATCAAATGTGGTGCCAGAACTGAACCCTGGTTCGCCACGTACAAGGCAAGGTCTTGCCCACTATACTATCTCTTCGGCCCACAATTTTATTAATCAGAAATTCTCTGAAACTCTCCTATTATGCTATTATATATTTGAACAATATATTTGAACAATAATCTTGCAAAGAACTAGAACATACTGTTTGAAAAGACATCGACTCTTATATTTCAAGTTTTTGTTTGTTCTCACAGTTCGAGATCAAACCTAAGGCCTCTCATTTGCAAGGTCCTACCACTAAGCCAGATTCCTGGCTCACATTTCAGGCTTTTTTTGGTTATTTGTTTGTTTGTTTGTTTTTTTGGGGAGGGGTGGGTGAGAAATTTGGAGCAGATCCAATAGTGCTCAGGACCTATTCCTGGCTCCCTGTTTCTGCACTTGGAGTGACCCCTGGTGGTGCTCGGAATACCATACACAGTGCTGAGGTTGAACCATGGTCACCCAACTGCAAACAAGGAAAGTGCATTGCCCTCTGTCTCTCTGGCCCCATGTGAGGCATTTTTCAGATTACACGCATCTCACTTTACTTGCTGCAAGGCTTTAATGTTAATATTTATTTTCCTCTAAGCATTTGGTTCGACATTTTGCTGTAATAAAAATGATATTGGCCTACAGACATACGTGGGTGGCATGTATTATTAACATCTTATAAATGTGGGGTTCTAAATTTAAATGTCTGGTTGAAAGAAAATGTTAAGACTGTCAGAATATGGAAAACACTCATCTCTATAAAATTTAGTGAAGTTTGAGGAACATGTTTTAACTAGTACTTGGTTTGGATTTTTATTTTATAGATAGGCTTGCTTCCATGTCGAGGGATTCATCACAAATATTAAGAACCACTGAGAACTGAAGAAAAAGGATTTGCTTTGCATGTGGTTGACCCTGTGGTACCTGAGGACCGCCAGGATGACCCCTGAATACAGAGCCAGGAGTAATCCCTGAGCACATTCACATGTGATCCAAAAATCAAAAAGACAAAGAACCAACCCAAGAAAAACTATCAATGGTCAAAGTTCCAACAATTTAGGCAGTAAACTAGTGATAATACTGGATCATGACTAAAAGAAAAAAATTACTGTCTATGAGTCCACAGTAGATGGGGGGAAAGAGATAGATGCTCCTTAGAGAAAAATTCTGAATGCTCCGTGAGAAGGAACTGGGAGGTAGGAAGTGACCATTGGGTACCACGGCAATAGTTGCTTTAGGCACAATCCAAGGGCAAGCCCTGAAACCAGAGGGCGAAATGTGAAGGAGAAACAAGACATTGGGAGAGTCTCAAAGCATCTCCTCCCATCCCTACCCCCATCCCCAGCCTAAGTGCCTCCAATACTTACCTATGACTGTGATGCTTTTAACAAACATCTGAAAACTTCTTTCTTCCCGTTCCTCCAAGAAGCAAACTTGGTGCTTCTTTCCTTAAGTGTGGTTTCATCTTAGAGACTCGGGAAGAGAGGCAGGGAGAGGAAAACTATAAACCAAATTAGGACAGACCCTCACAGGCAACCCCAAACCAAGGGGTCCTGGTGAAGATCTCCAAGAAACTCATCAGGTTGGTACTGCAGGACAGGAGAAGAGGGGCAGGTCACCCCTGTGGCATGCTTCCCTAAATCCTTGGTCCTCTTAAAACATCGGACAAATCCAAATGTAAGGGCATAATATAAAATATCTAATCAATAGTTTTTCACAAGCCATGATCATCAAGAAAAAAGGAAATACTGAGGAACAGCAAGAAAGACAAAATGAAGGAAAGAGAGGAACCAAATGCTCTGGGGTTTGGGAATCTGGGATTGGATTCTGAAACATAAAAAGGGATGCACCTGGGGGGAAAAAAAAGAAATCCAGTGGAAGATTGCAGGTTTCAGTGCCGTGCCACAGCCGAGTGTCTCACAGTTCCTCCAAGGCACTGCAATAATGTGCTTGCAGATGCTAACAGCAGGCAACATGGGTGAAGGGCCTCCAGGAATCCTCTGTGCCATAGACACTCTCCGTAAATCCAAAATGATTTCGAAGTCATTTCCAGAGGCTAGAGAAACGGTATAGCAGGGAAGGAACTTACACTGCATACAGCAGGGTTCAATCCTTCCGCACCGCATATGGTCCCCTGAACCATGCCAGGAATGAGTCCCGAGTGCAGAGCCAGGAGTAATCTCTGAGCACCACCATGTATGACCCAAACTCTCTACCCTCACCCCAAAAAATGTTTCTAAAAAAGAAAGTGTGTCTAGAGAGATAGTCCAGAGGTTAAGGCACTTGATCTTTATGTGGCTGACCTCAGTTCGATCTCCAGCACCACACATGGTCCCCCCCCCCCCCAAAACCCAATACCACCAGGAGTGATCCATGAGTGCAGAGACAGAAATAGCTCTTGAGCATCACTGGGCGTGGTGCCAGAACCCCTCAAAATTAACTAAGTAAAGAAGTGAATGTGTCATCCCAAGTAGAATAAACTGCTGACATCCACCACGATTACATGGTGAGACCAGGTTTGTGAACTCTGTTCACTTCTTAGTGATGCTTACCTTTAATCTCTTATTTATCCACTTGGTGTCCTCTGGTTATCATAAGGACCAAAGAAGATAACGTTTGCTTTCTTATCAAAATCCATTTTTTAGGGTAATCTATCTATGCTTTATTTAATAAAAAAATGCTGATATGTCTTATGTCTCTTCATCAGAATGTGTGTGACTGCTTCAAAAATATTATCCTGTAAAATAATTAAGAAGTCCAAGTAAAGAGGGATAAAAATCTTTTAATTGTTTAAATACAGTGGTACACCAAGTCATCTACATTGCAGTACCCAGTGGACACACAGTCATTCTCTAGTTAAGAAATTTCCAAATATCCCACTAACCACCAATCACAAGTCCTTGAAAACAGTAATAAATTCAGAGGATGAGATTCCCAGAACATCAGGAAGAGAGATTGAGAGACCAAATGTCCATGAAATCTTCAAGGTTACATAAGCCTTTCGCTAAAGAACATTGGAAGTTCATCAAAATACAAACAGGTCATGCACATTTCAGTCATTTATTTTAAAATACTGCGGTGTAAGACATTGTTGCGGATAAGGGAGATTCTCTGACATGAAAATTATGATAGCCGAATAATAAAAAAAAAATTAAAAAGGGAAAGAGAAATAACCAAGAATCAAGTGAATAATTGTATAGCTACAAATTAACATGAAGTAAAAAAAATAGTGAGAGAGAACCAATGGATATATTACTTTAGGTCATTCATTGATAGTGCCTTATGATTTGAAGTTATAAATAGAAGAAGGATTTTGTTATATAAAAGCTACCCAGAAAGTATCTGTGGAAAGACATGGTCCCAGAGAGCCGTGTTCTGTCGCAAGGGGGTCGGGGCTGAGGACGGGGGGGGGGGCCGCAGAGCCTGTACGGGCTCAGGGCAGCAAGCATGCCTTGGTGTGCCATTCATGGGGTGGGGGTGGGGGTGGGGCTGCCAGAAAGTTCCACGGACGAGTGCAAACTGTTTAGCGAAACCCTTTCTCGAACCACAACATTCAGCCTGGACCCCTGATTTGAGCTACTCTATAGAGCTGTGAGAATGGCGGTGTGTTGGGGGAACAGGCGACTGTTTAGAATTTCCGTGGAAACGTCTGCATGTGACAATGTCCTAGGGAAAGAAATCCCTGCCGCGTCTCGACAAGCAAGCTAGGAAGAAAACAAACAGAAAAAAAGAGAGAGAGAGAGAGGTGTTAGAAAACTTGCAAATGTACAACTTCAGCAAAAATAGATCAGTATTCAACCTACAAATTCCTGGCTGGTTTTCTTGTTAGGGAGGCACACGATTCAACCGTGGCTCAATTTTTATTTCAGATTTAATAGGTGGCTGGTGAAATGCTGAACACTCAGGGCCCCTACATAAAGAGACAAATCCCATGGAGAAAGAGACTTTTAAGCTCAGAATTAAGATACAACAATGTGGTAATACCAAAGCATCACATCAATATCACTCATGTCAAAGGCATGGGCCATTCAGTCACAACTTCATCCCTTTTCTCCTTGGCCAGAGCTTCCAGGAAGGGTCAAGTCATCTGACCCACAGGGCCACTTCTGCCAGGGCAGCTCGCCCAGCCACTGGTGCATAGAGCCATCATTTAAGACCTGCTGTCCGGGAAATAATCCGCACATTTAAATGGTCACTCTGACTTTCAAGTCATCTCTAGAGGAAACTACAAGTATCTCAAGATAAAAAGCAACTGGAAGAGATTCAGAAATCAGTCCTCAGTTTCTTTCCAACAGTAAGAAACCCTCTCTGAACTCTGATCAAGGACAGAGCTGTAGTTTGGACAAAACCCACGTCTCTAATGTTGTGCAGAGAATACTGCATTCACCAAAGAAGTCTTCTCATCAGAGTTTCTGCCAATAATTTAATCCCAGAAAGTTAGAAACTCGTATGTAGGAAATAAAGTGAATGAAAGGACAATCTTTCAATTTAGAAAACCTTTAGGTAAGTCAAAGGAGGCAAAAGAAAGACCAAGATCAAGTTGATTCTTTAGAAATAAAGAGGAAAATGAGAGGAGAGAAGACAGGCAATAAAATATGTTAGCAGCCAGAAGCAGTTCAGAAAAGCATCTTGCTGTTGCTATTGCAAAATTATTATCAGGAATTTGACAAGCTACAAAGTTGAACAACTATCTTCTCTAACTCTCCAATGAGAAAGCTGAAGTCCAGAGGCCGGGAGAACAGGTTATGTATCAACAGCCTGTATTAGTAACAGGGACACCAGGTCCCCTGAGAACTATCGAGACGGTCCTTCTTTCCACAGTACTCTGTGCTTTTGTAAATATACCGTTTTGAGCAGCGCAAACAGTAACATGTTCCAGTTCAATCAGATTATCTTTCCTATTTTATGTAAATAACAAAAGCACCTTAGCAGAGGAAAGGGAAATCTAGCAAAACAAGACATGCAAATGGGGGTTCAGAATTGCCATCATGTTCACAGACAATCTCCAGAGGCTTGGCAGGAACCCTTCACACATGAAAATGAATCGGCTGAAAAAACCAGGTATATGGGTTTTGTGACTGAAATCTCCAGGTTCTCATGGTGTCGGGAATGGGTGACTTTCCTCCGTCTCCCTCTTCTTCAGAGAGTTTGGCAGTCACACCCATGAATTGTCTTTGGTGGCATATAAGCTCATTAATGACCATGATCCAGAGATTCACAAATAAATCTCAGAAGAGAACAACAAGGTGCAGAGATCCTTCTGGGCCCCAAAGTCACCATCCAGTTAAAAATTTAACTCCAGCTGTATCACCCTATTTAAAATTTTAGAATTTCTGGAGAGACATCTCATAATTTATGCCACTGATGTATCAAGAGTAGCACATCACATTTGATGGAGTGGAAAGTAGAAGGCAGCTGACCTTGATTAAATATACGTGTGTGTGTATATATATATATATATATATATATAGAGAGAGAGAGAGAGAGAGAGAGGGAAGGAGAGATGGATATTAGCACACAAAGCTCAACCTGTAACAACGTGTTAATAATCTCTTATACAAGGGTTTAGTGGCTCTAAGGTGAGATACAACAATTTTCACACACTTTCCTCTAAGGAATTCCCTTTGGCTCATTTCTAGTGGATTTTTCATAACAAGCAATACAAAAATAAATTATTTAGGATCTGCCTTTGGAACTTGGGTGGTGGTGGGAAAATTTGAATAATGGTAATGAGAAGGTATAAAGATGGTGGGATTGGTGCTGGAATACTGAATGTAATAACTTATTGTGAACAATTTATAAAAATGAAATTTAAAAAAAAAACAAAATGAAACAAATGGGGACGGGTGGTTAGAAGTCTTCAAAAATACTAGCAAAAGAAAATTCTCAGCAAATTCCAAAAGGGAAACTCCTGGGTACTAGGTAAGAGGCTCCATGATGCTACTGTCTTGATGATGAAGTCTTCCAAGAAGTGAGTAATAATCAGGCTCATTACAGTCCTGGTCAGGAAGAAAGTGATGCCTGTTTCTGTGTCCGCTCTGTATTACAAACAACAGCACCAGCACTGGCTCTGTCTGGGCAAGAAGTTGGTTCAAAACCAAATTAGTTTCGCTTGTGGTCTTGCAGTGGCTGAATTCTGGTTACAATCATCCTCATAATAAGATGATGATGGTGCCAGGGATAATGATGAAAGTGTTGATGAAGAGAGCATATGTTACTATTTATCTGATACTTATGCTAGCACAGAACATACTATAACATATCATTTTATATATATATTAATGTGTATAGCAACAATGCTTTATATGCATATTAGTTTCATATCTCTTCTTGGATTTGGGGCCATGCCCGGTGATGTTTAAGGATTATACCTGGCTCTACACTCAGTAATTACTCATAGTGGTGCTTGGAAAATCCTATGGGATTCCAGGGATCTAACCCAAGCCTGCTGTGTGCAAGGCATGCACCTTACAGATGGACTATTGCTCTGGCGCCTAGTTCCATATTTCTAATAAGATGAAAGTTACAAAGAGGAAACCAGTTGCCCAGTGAAAGAGCCTGGCACCAAATAGATGGCTGTGTGATGCCCTGGAAAGGACAGGCTAACTGAGGAGAAAGGGAATCCCTGACTCTTTAAGATTCAAACAAGACCAATTGGTATTCTGCAATCCTGAATGAAGTGGGGCTTGGTAGCCAAACACCATGACCAGATGAACTGTATCTCTGCTGGATGCGCAGATTTCCCACTCGGTATCTTTTAGGGACTGGTACAGAGGATACTTAACAAATGAAAGCTGTTTTTACCCCTGTCCTTGTCACCTTATTACTCTAACTCAAAGTTCCCAAGACCAGGATAACAGGTCCACTATTCTTGACCTTTTTGCCAATCATTTCATCTAGTCATATCTAAACATGTTTTATAACAGCCAACCTAAAAACAACTTATGATTTTCCTGAGTAACTGCATTTCTGAACATGGATGATTGTACACCTCATCATCACTGGGTAGTGATATAATACTGCTCTATTATCTAAATTGGTGCTAAACACTTAACCCTAATCTGCCCCACCTGTGAAAGCTCCCGATTTCCTAGGCCCTCCCTATCTCTCATTTTCAAAGTTACTTCCTCGAAGTTTTGACAATGAAGAAAGAAATCTCAGTATTTTAGGATTATACTCATCTTGTTCTTCTCAAAGCTGCATTTGAAATAAATTGAAACTTTAAAAGCAGTAGTAAAGAAAACTTTGGTCTTAACCATTCAAGACCTTTTATAATGATACACTAAACTTCATAGGTTTCACTCCAAGATGAAACCCCTTCCTGATCTTGAACTTTAAGATTTCCAAAAAAAATATAACAATAATGTGCCAACAGCTCATTTATCACCAAGGCTAAATATACAGGATTATTTTTAAACATATACAGTGGGGGCTGGAGTGATAGTACAGCGGGTAGGGTGTTTGCCTTGCACGCTGCCGACCCGGGTTCGATTCCCAGCATCCCATATGGTACCCTGAGCACCGACAGGAGTAATTTCTGAGTGCAAAGCAAGGAGTAACCCCTGTGTATCGCCGGGTGTGACCCAAATAGCAAAAATAAATAAATAAATAAATAAATAAAATAAACATATATAGTACCTTGTGATTATCGAGTCAGATTAGTTTCTTCTAATCTTAAAGAGAAAAATTAAGAAAAGTTAAATCATATTATAAGGAACATTATTCTAACTTCCTATAAAATGACCCATAGTAATTACACACACATGCATGAGGGCACGTGCTAGCCTAAACCATAAAGGAGACAGACAGCAATGAAAAACAAAAAACTACAGTGTGTAAAACATGACAGGAGACAGCCTGCTGCACAAATTCAACACGCCAATGGTCCTATAACACTACACTAAACAGCTGTGTTTGACTAACCTGCATTCTTTACAGTGAGTCGCACTTAAAAATGTACTTAAGGGGCCAGCGAGTTGGTAGTACAGTGGGCAGGGCACTTGCCTTGCATGAGGCCAACCTGGGTTTCATCCCCAACACTGCACGTGGTCCCCCAAGCAATGCCAGGAGTGACCCCTGAGCACATAGCCAGGAGTCACCCTGAAGCACTTCTTGGTCTAACCAAAAAAACAAAGAAGAAAAGAAAAGAAAAAAAGTCCTTAAACAGGCAGGAAGTTATTATCCTCTTGCCCACAGCTGTGCCTGTCATCATTAGCCCCATAATCACTATTCAAATCTCAGAAAAATAAGCCGTACTTCATTTCATTATCCACCAGGCAGTCATCTTTTAACTATGTCACAGAAATTTGTCTTTATGTGCTACAAAAATCTCCATAAATTTGCCGACGCCTCGGCTTTCATTTTCACACTGAAATCAACACGAAATTAAAAAATATCCATGGAGCACAGACACAAATAGAAGCTAAATTTTGCTTTGGAATTACTCCTACTGTGTGAGTGGCAGTTTCCACAAATGTTTACAAGGCAAAGACACATGCTTTTTATTCGTGGTTCACTGCAGCTCGGTAAGATGTAGGCTGAGTCAGGCAAGCTGAAATGTAAATTACCTATTATTTTCACAAAGCATAGCGATTCAGGGAAAATAAGCATCACGTGGTCTGACTTACTTTTGCGTACAGTCTTGCTCTGGCTGGGAACCGCACTGACAGCTTCAGATGGGAGACCAACATACACCCCTCCGTAGTTTCTGAGGGGAAAGAAGCAGATATAGGGGGAAAAAAATAGGCCCACTGAAGTGGGTTTAGACACTGAAGAAAGTCACATAAGCACAAACTACTACAAACAAATACACAGTGATTAAAATAACTCGTGTTCTCTCAAACACAGAATTTAGCACGTTATTTTCCTTGGTCATGTCATTATTTTGTTCTCTGTTTTTGACGAAAAAAGGTAGGGCCAGAGCAAGCAGGGCAGTTGCATTGCATGTTGTACACTGGGGTTTCCTGGAGCCCGGCCATAAGTGATCCCTGAGGGCAGAGCCAGGAGTAAGTCCTGAGCACCACTGAGTGTGACCCCCATACAAACAAACAAACAAAAAGTTATTTGGGAACTGGGGACGACTCAAAAAAAAAAAACAAAGCACGTGACTAGCATGGGTGAGACCCTTAGTTTCATTTCTGATATCATATGAACCCCTTCCCCTTCCTGCTCCAATACTGCTAGGTGTGGCCCTAGTGGCCCCTAGGCACCCAAGCACTGCCAACTTGAGGCCACACCCCAAGAGAGGCTGCCAGATGCTTCCAGAACTGCCGGGGGTAGCCCCTACAAAAAACACATAAGCAAAATTTTATCAAAGGAAGCATAACACATTGAATTCATATAAGTCTTCTTTAACTTACAATGAGAAAGGTGTTGGGTTATTATGGGTTCAGCATAATTGTAAATGACAGTGGAAGAACATGGTACAGTTAATCAGGGCGCTTGCATTGCATACGGTGGAGCAGGGTTTTCCGGAGCCCCGCCATAAGTGATCCCTGAGAGCAGAGCCAGGAGTAAGTCCTGAGCAACACTGGATATGGCACAAAAAAAAAAAAAAAAACCCTTTTTTTTTTTTTTTTTGCTTTTTGGGTCACACCCGGCAATGCTCAGGAGTTACTCCTGGCTCTGCACTCAGGAGTTACTCCTGGCGGTGCTCAGGGGACCATATGGGATGCTGGAAATCGAACCCAGGTTGGCCACGTGCAAGGCAAACGCCCTACCCACTGTACTATTACTCCAGACCTGACTTTTTTTTAAAATCAAGAATCCAATGTGAGCAGTATGGCAGTAGGAAGGTACCAGGGATGCACAGCGACACTTCACTATAGAGCTACACAAACGCAAATGGGGGAGAGAATGATGGTAAGCTGAAGAGAAGGGGAGAAGAGTACAGTTAAACAGAGGCGAGATGAAAAGGAGGAGGAAGTCGAGAGAAGGACTGGAATTGATGAAATGGGATTCCTACCACTGGACAGGAAATAGGCAGACAGGTCATGAACACAGTAAAGAAACCAATCTTAGTTGAAAGAAGCAAAAATTATAATCCTGAGCAACTTCACTGCAAGAAAAATTTAGGCAGGGGCCTGAGTGATAGCATAGCAGGTAAGGCGCTTGCCTTAGATGCAACTGACCCAGGTTTAATCTGGTCACCTAAGTCCCGCAGGAGTGCTCACTGAACACAGAGCCAGGAGGAAGCCCTGAGCACTGCTCGGTGTGGCCCCCAGAAAACAAATAAAAACCAAATGTCTTTGTATCCCATGTTCCTATCTGTATTCTCTCTGCCAAGAGATTTCCTGACAGAAATTTGTACTATTGGAAATATGCTATTATTACAAATGCAACTGTGTTCATTAAAATCCACAAGTTAAATTCATCCACGTTAAAATAAATCCAGGAGGGAGAGCCAAACTTCTTCGAATTGAAGCTTCAAACATACCTCCTCTTGTCATCTTCTGTTATAGATTCTTCTGTTCTAAAAAGTAAAAAAAAAATTTTTTTTATGAGATTTCATTTAGGGATGTAAAAAAGAGGTCAAAGTCGAAGTCAGGTACATCTCCAGCTTGTACCAAGTACTCCTGCAGCACAGTCCTCCGTCTCCACTTCAACCATCCATGCACTAAAACCTGAAGCCAGGTTCAGAGACAGCTCAAAGGGTCAGGTGCATGCCTTGCACGAGCCCAACTTGGGACTTGTCCCTCGAAAGACATATGGTCCCCTGAGCACTGCTGGAAGTGATCCCTGAGTGCAGAGCCAGGAGTAAGCCCTGAATGCCACTGGGTGTGGCACAAAAAATTTTTTTTTCTTTTTGGGTCACACCCGTCAATGTACAAGGGTTACTCCTGGTTTTGCACTCAGGAACTACTCCTGGTAGTACTCGGGGGACCATATGGGATGCTGGGACTTGAACCCAGGTCGGCTGCATGCAAGGCAAACACCCTACCTGCTGTACTATCTCTCCAGCCCCCAAACAAAAATTTTTAATAAAAAATTTTAAATAAAAAAGAGAAACTCGATTCTCTCTACTGACTCAACTGCTGAATAAAATGAAAAACTAGAGGCCAGTGACACTAGGAAGAGCACGTGTATTGGACATCAGGAAGTCTGCCTTCCTGTCTTGGCCGTGCCACCTGCCTAAGAAGTGACAAGCTGTGGGCAAGCTGCTCCCTGTCCCTCATCCATAAGATAAAAGAGGTAGACCAGATGACCCCAAAGACCAGCCCTGACACACTGTGAGTCGATGTCTTTCCTGCCACATTGGTGGCACAGCTCTAGGTGAAAGTGTCTTTTGCACAAAAACAGTGCACATCAATATGATTTCCTTTCTTCATAAACAACAACAACAAAATAAAGGAGTCAATTTACACATGGTAAATCACAAAGAGGGGAAGTTATTTACAGATGGGTTTACATGCTGCTTCATAAGGCAGGGCCTCACAGCGGGGGCCTATTCTACTAGAATTCCTCGGCTCATTTCTAAGAGAATCAGGAAGTTTTGCACTAGTTACCACATAGGAATTAAAGAATATTTTTTTCTAAGAAAAGAAAAAAAGCTCAGCAAGATCTAAATGTATGTGATTGCTGTAATGCTAAGGGGCCTCAGTCAAAAAACAAAACAAAACAAAAAGCATATTGAAAACATCTAACCAGTTTCACCAAACGTTCTATTTCTCAGGACTAACTTGTGGTTTCAACCCATTTAAAAGTATTTTAGGGGCCGGAGAGATAGCACAGGAGGTGAGGCACTTGCCTTGCACGCAGACAACCTGGGTTCCATTCCTGGCATCCCATATGGTCGCCAAGTTCCATAAGAAGTGATTCCTGAGTGCAGACTCAGAGTAACCCTTGAGCATCACCAGATGTGGCCCCCAAACTAAAAGTATTTCAGATGTACACATACAGGAAATTTCATATCACTGGAAGAGCCAGTAAATCCAACTCTGCAATGAAGGGGAAGGTTGCTGTGCGAGTCCCTGGCCCAGCATACAGCTGATGTTCCATCCCAGTACAAAACCCCCACCTGGAAGTCTAATTTACCCCAACTGAGCACACAGCTGACATTCACCACATAATTACCACTCATTTATCTCTTGTGAAAGTTGGATCAATTTTTAATTCAAAGGTGTAAAAACTGCACTATATTTAAAAAAAAGGAGGCTATGCTTATTGAAATGGTAGAACAAGGTGTAATTTACTACTCTTAATTCAAATGGATTTTTGTTCACTTAGATAAGATAAGATAAAGGCCCTCCCGTTGATCGTCGATTTGCTCGAGCGGGCCCAGTGACGTCTCCATTGGAGACTTTGTTGTTACTGTGTCTGGCATATCGAATACTCTCGGTAGCTTGCCGGGCTCTCCGAGAGGGGCGGAGGAATCGAACTCGGGTCGGCCATGTTGGCCGCTTGTAAGGCGAACGCCCTACCGCTGTGCTATCGCTCTAGCCCTGCTATCGCTCTAGCGATTGTTCACTTAGTACAAGTAATAGGAAATTGACAGTGACAAGATTGTTCAAGAGGATAAGAATTGTTTACGTTGGTCCTGAATGATTAGCATCATGGGGAAAGTATTTTTGAAGCAATATGTAACTAGCAGATGTGGAAATATACCTCCATTCTGTTTGCCAGACAGATTTAACCAGGTACCATTCCCAGCAACAGTGAAAGAGGGTCCCTGTTTCGTTCCTGCCAACACTGGTTTTTGCCAGTCTTTCTGACATCTGTGTTCTCACTACTGAGAGATGATAGCTCACTGCCTGACTCTCGGCTGGCCAAGCAGGCCAGCAGTTCCATGCAGGGGCAGCAGGATTCAATGCTGCTTTGGCCCGATCGTGCTGGAGGATACTGGGTCACCCTGATGATGCTGGAGGCCTCTGGGACCACATCTGGCAGTACTCAGGTGCCTGTGGGGCTCTACCTGGTGAAGTCGAGGCAGGCACCTAACCCAGAGGAGGAGCACAGACTGGCAGGCTCTGCCTCAGGCAGGCGGGCACAGCCGTGACAGTTACTGAGGACAGGCAGCAGCCCCCTCGGCCCCTTAGGGGAGGGTCTTGCATATGAATCCTTGGCTGAGTGTTTCAGCATGGCACAGCCCTGCAGAATCGGAGCCCACTCTGGGCTCTCTGTCTCAGCCATGTGGCCCCTACATTAGTCCTTTCCATGGGCATGTGAGTGAGAGAGAGAGAGAGAGAGAGAGAGAGAGAGAGAGAGAGAGAAAGAGAGAGAGAGAGAGGAAGGAAGGAGGGAGGGAGAGAGGGAGGGAGGGAAGGAAGGAAGGAAGGGAGGGAGGGAGGGAGGGAGGGGAGGGAGGGAGGGAGGGAGGAAGGCAGGAAGGGAGGAAGGGAGGAAGAGAGGAAGAGAGGAAGGGACAGAGAGAGAGGAAGGAAGGAGGGAGGGAGAGAGGGAGGGAGGGAGGGAGGGAAGGAAGGAAGGAAGGAAGGAAGGAAGGAAGGAAGGAAGGAAGGAAGGAAGGGAGGGAGGGAGAAAGGAAGGAAGAGAGGGAGGGAGGGAGGGAGGGAGGGAGGAAGGAAGGAAGGGAGGGAAGGGAGGGAGGGAGGGAGGGAGGAAGGAAGGGAGGGAGGGAAGGGAGGGAGGGAGGGAGGAAGGAAGGAAGGGAGGGAAGGGAGGGAGGGAGGAAGAGAGGAAGAGAGGAAGAGAGGAAGAGAGGAAGGGACAGAGAGAGAGAGAGAGAGAGAGAGAGAGAGAGAGAGAGAGAGAGAGAGAACCAACCATCCAACAGCGGCAACTCAGCTGACACAGATTTTGAACCTGCTTTCTTCTACCTCCGAGCATCCCCAGACCTTGCTCACCTCCCTCCTAAGAAGCAGGCAAACCCAGCATCCTGCTCAGCCTGCACCTACGGAACCAGGTTCTGCAAAGCTCCCTGCAAGCTTCTGGACCTTTCCCCCAACGAACCCAAGGACTGACGCTCTCTTTAACTATCAATGTGCTCTGGCTCAGTCAGAGTTTCAGATGGAGCGCTGCCTTAAAGCCTGCCACCACACATCTGCAGGCCCTTGGGGTCGGGGGACGGGGCTGTCTTCTTCCTTTTCATTCATGAAGCTGGTGCGGGCCTCTTCCAAAGCAGGTACTGAGAAGCACCCTCTGCCTTCCAGTGAGTGCACGCGAACATGCTTTCCTTCTCAGTCACCATGCCTCCAACTGAGAGAGCCTCGCTGGGAGAGGCTGGCAGATAGAAACCCACTCTTCCTCAGCAACGCATCTCAGTCACAATATCTGTTTGCGCAGCTTCTGGGCTGTATAACGGAGTTATCACACGGGGCCTGAATGGGCTGCAAAGGTAAAAGAGCAGCACCATGGCCTGGAGACTGGATGTGCTCCCTCAAGAACAAACACAGAGGGCAAATATTAGCAGTCAGCTGCTCCAATTAGCAGCTCCTACCCCATTTGGGCCGCAGTTGGCCTGAAAACACAGTTCCCACTTCCCAGCCCTCCATCATAGCACAGTTTACGTGGCAAAGAAGTCATTTGTTTTTCACTGATTTTTTTTTAATGCCCTAAGCATAGAGTGATTCTTATTCACACTGGCCCAAGAAACAGAAAAGCAGCCTGAATCTTTTCTCTCTCCATCTTTGGTGTGTCATGGAAGAGTTAAGCTTCTGATTCGGAAATGGTTACAGAACAATGTGGAAAGCTCTGGTGAGTTGCAGGAGCCTGAAGGACCTGTTTTAGTGACTGAGCACAAAAATCCTTTGGAATATGTTAATGAATTAATAATGCTATGGTCAGAGAGATAGTATTGCAGGTAAGGGGCCTGCCTTGCGTATGGCTAACCAGGGTTCAATCCCTGACACCCCATATGGTCCCCTGGAGTGATCCCTGAGCACAGAGCCAGGAGTAGGCCCTGAGCACCACTGGCATGGCCTCCAAACCAAAACTGAACAAATACACATGAATTGACAAGGTTTACTTTCATTTACTCTCAGTTCTTCAGATCAAGTGTCGTCACTTCATTTTCTTTGTTTTAAGGAGGGCTCCTAATTTTTCAGATTCCAATCTATCCAACAGTTACATATGAATACTTAATCAGTGGGTATTTGTCCTACATTCAAACTTATTCATTACTTCACAATGTCATAATTTCTTTAGATAGTTGAGTAATTTTTGTTTTGGGTTCTATTTGTTCTCTTGTATTCAGGAAACCATAAGGGATACTGGGGACCAAACCTGTGTCAGCCATGTGGCAAGGTAAACATCCCACCAACCCCCTGAGAGTATTTTTGCTTGGTGTGGTTTTTGATTTTTGGCCATCCCAAGCTGTGCTCAAGGTTTACTCCTGACTCTGTGCTCAGGGATCACCCGTGGTAGCACTCAGGGATACCAAATGCAAGATCAAACCTGGGTCAGTCATGGTTCCTTGAAGAATTACCTTTATATCTCTCTCCCTCCTGAGTTTTAGCCCCCTGGTCTTTCTTTCTTCTAGAATATGTCACTAGAGAACATAAGATTCACTCTTTC